TAGTTTGCCACATCCAGAAGCAGAGCTTTTGGCCAGCACTGGGCTTGTGCTGTGTGTGTGCGCGTGAGCTGTTCTTAGTATCTTCTTCTACCTCAAACCATAGTGAATGACTGTGCTAATAAACTTACTGCTTAACTGTGCAGGACAGCTGAGGGACCGACACCTCCTGCCTTGGTTTTCTTTGTCATGGCCATGTGTTTGCTGCATGTGTGTGTATATATGTATGTATGTATACAAACCTCTTCATCTTTCCTGAAACACAAGCGTCTGCTACGCATCTCCAGAGTCCAATCGGGATGGAAATGGGATGACCAACCGGCAGCACATGACAGTAATAACCCTGTGTTGATGCGGCAGGCAGCGCTTGTGTATGTGTACTACTGCCGTCAGCACATGTAAAGAAGGTCTCGACCACAGGTACTGCCAGGGAAATGGATGGGCCGGACATGGACTGTTGTGGTCTCTGCTGTGTTGTCTTCTATCCACTGTTGAAATCAGCGTTTTTCTACATGTGGAAGTAGACTGTTAATCTGCTATTGCCATGAGGTCCGGTGAATACTTGCTTGCTGGAATGCTGGCTGTGGCATGCACACACCGACTCCTCCCCTTCCCCAGTGGCCGTCGCTGTCATGAGCATATGCCACCACCATGCATGCAACATTCGCCATATGATTGAGTAACAAAGCCTGCTTTGCTGCAAGGATATCATTGTCGATTTGTCGTCGTCGTCGTCGCGGGAAAGAGGTGAATGGTCAATGATGTCTGAAAAATGTGTGCTTTTACAGTCAGACAGCAGCAATGGGTTGGTGGCGAATGGCGATGCCAATCGAAGCACGTACGTACACATGGCGTGAGGTGAGGTCATTACACATATGTCCTGTTCGCTGTTCCGATTTTGCCTTCCATCATTGTTGACTGTTTGGCCAGGGTGGCTACCAGTACCATCAACAGCGCCCTAATACAATCTGCGTCCATCGGTTACCTGTTCTGTCTTGGCATTATCTACGTGTAAAAGGAGTAGTGGGTGGGGGCTTTTGTTTGTTACAGGCGGCGGCATGCAGCTTCCAGCTCCAACCTGACTGACTGACGGCAAGTGCACGGCAGCAACAGCTTATCAGTGGCATGCCACCATTTAAACCCTGGGAAACACGCAGCAGCCGTCACAGAGGAGAGCAGGGCGAGCCGGCGCATCCTATCGGCGCGGCTAGCTAGCAGAGCACAAGCGCAAAAGGGGCCGGGAAATAGCTGCCCAGCGGTACGGTGGAGCGGGCCAAGCCAGGCCAATTCACGGCACCGATCGGAAAGCGGATTTCTGTTGGATCTGAAGCCGATCGATCCATCGATCCATCGGCGGCCAGCCAGCCGGTCGGCATTATTAGTTATATTCCCCCTGCCGGCCGGAGGGTGAGCCAGCCCAGCCAGGGGGGATGGCGTCGGCATGCATGTGCCATTTGTGAATCTTTGAGCTGTAAAGACGAGCGGGGGCCTCGCCCTCCTATCCTGAGTCTCGCTCGGCTCTCGCCCTGGCAGTGCAGTGCATTGCAAGTGCAGGCTGCGCAGCACACACATGTACAACTACCCAAAAGAAGATTCACATGAACCGCCGGCGCCGACGCAGGCAGCTTTCTGCTACTTTCGCCACAAATGTAGTGACGCGTCGAATTTAACCGCTAAAATATGAGGATTTGTCTGTCGGTACACCGTACACGAGCTGGACCTGCTAGTAGGCAAGGGGATTAGCAGGAGCAGTATAGTTTGCGCCATGCCGCGGTGCTGCCGGGCGAGCGCGGCGCGGCCGGCCGGCCAGCCTTGCTTGTTCCTCGCCGTCCGCCACGGCCGGATTTTGTTTCGCATGCATCTACCGGCCGTTGACATGGCCGCCAGCCGCCGGCGACGTAGGGGTCGTCGATCGGCACATGGCCGCCTGCGATTTATGCGCGTCACGTGCCACGTCTAACCATGTGCTGACGACGACGATGCGCGTCCTACACTGGCAGTGCAGTGCAAGTTGCAGGGCGGTAACCAGCCGCTACCTCCGTCCCTAAATAACTATCGCTTTTGATTTTCGTGCGGAAAGTTTAACTAGATTTATAGAAAATATATGCAACATTTGCTTCTCCAAATAAATTTATTTTAAAAATAGATTCAAAGTTTTATCTAATGATTTTAATTGTGTACTATAAACATTAATATCTATATTTATATATTTAGTCAAAGTTGTTCCTCAGGAAACGAAAACGACAGTTATTAGCGACGGAGGGAATAACTAGGAGCCCAGCACATGCCATGTGGCCACAGGAACAGTGTGGATTAGTGGGATTGGGCTGGGGAACCCCTCCCAACTAGGAGCCCAGCACATGCCATGTGGCCACAGGAACAGTGTGGATTAGAGCTTGTGTGGATCATAGACTAAACTTTATTGGCCACTTAAAAATTGAGTTCTAAAACACTCAGGTCCTATTTGATTTCTCCCTGGTTTCTCCCTCCTAAACTTAGTCATCTAAACTAGGGACCAAACTTTAGTCACTGTGTGTTTAGTTTGGGTAACTAAAAGAGACCAAGGGCCTGTTTGGTTCATGACCAAAACGTGCCATGTCACAGTTTCAATTATGACGTGCCACACTTTCTTATCACCATATCCCACATGTCATAGACTTATTTTCTTGTCACACTTTGTCACAAGTGTGGCTTTAATTTTGTTCGCCAAACTTTCTCTGGCAGCCATAGTTTGCCAAAGGTTAGGCGTGACAAGTTTTGATTACCAACCAAACATGCCTTTTAGTCCCTTTTAGTCAGGGTGTTTGGCTCTAAAATGACTAAAATGTGAGGTTTAGTCCCTTTTAGCAATAATTTGGTGACTAGTTGGCTAAATCTTCATTTAGTCTCATTTAATCATAGTATTTGGACGAAAAGTGACTAAATGAAACTAGATTTAGCTGACTAAACTCTAGGAGGGGCTAACCAAACCGGCCCTCAAATGGGTGGACTAAACTTTAGTACGTCGAGCTCAACTAATTGTATGAAACTAAACTTTTTTAGTCGCCTAATAAACTTCAATTACCTGAATTTTATAGTAGAATTAAGAGCTAGTCCAGGTGATCTCTTACCTCGCTCTCTCAGAGAGATCGGTTGGACAGGTCGATCTGTCATGTGTTCTTGACGTCAGGACGGGTTCCGGGAACAACGGGGCATGCAAGGGACCGACGTCCAATCAATCGGCGCAAGCAATCTCGCTTGCGATGCAAGGAGACCATGTGCCGGGCACACACGGACACTTACCTGTGCCCGCGCGCGCGCGCGCCGCTCGCGCGCGGATGCCGGCAGCGGTACGATCGATCGATCATCTTCTTCTTCCATCCCAGTCCCATCAGAGATCGATCCATGCGCCATGCTTGGTCCTCCATCCATGACTTTGTTCAACGTCGCGTTTGGTACTGACGTACATGCAGTGGAGACTGGCCGGAGTTGAGGGTGTGTCGTCGTCGTTCGAGAGAGGCTGTGGAGAGCACGGTCACGATCGTCCCACGCCCTCGCTACATCATCTTCTTCCTCCGTTAGCCACTAGCATGCCTGCAACAGCAATTGCCATGGCAGCCTGTACTGCACGAGCCACGATCGATCCATATATAGCAAGGAGCAAGAGCTAATGGGCGATGGCGGCGCGCGTACACGTGCGCGCTCCCGGAAAGCCGGGCCGGACCCCAGCACCGCACGACGTGACAGGACAAGACAGGATGAGAGAAACCTTAGCTTCTCAAGTTCCGGTACGTGGTTCTCAAAAAAAAAAAAAGTCCCGGTACGTGAGTACGTAACGTGACGGGATACGGATATGTTTTCTTTTCACGCCTCCGTGCTAATAGAGACAGTAGTCTGTACATGCTCGCTGTACTCGTGGCTTGTATACAGCTAGTATGCTCAGAAGATTTCGTAATTCCGTCCATGCAAAGATCGACAGAACCTACCAGGGCACAGGAAACGGCGGCTGCAGGCAAAGGTTTTTTTAAAATAAAAAAATGGAACAATTTTTACTACTACTAGTAGTATATCAGAATAACAACAAAGTGAACTGATGACGACATGAATGCAGTTGCGTGAGTCGCTAGTCACAAGAAACATTCAACGAACTGGTGCGTTCACGCTCAGAAATTCCAAGCTGCTGATTTCATGCAAACCCCACAAAGAACAAGTACAAATGCAGTCAAAAGGTTGCAAAGTCTAACTAAATACGTGAGCCACTTTTGTTGGGCGACCAAGCCCAAAATCCCGGTTGGATTTGTATACCATCAGGCATCAGGACAAAAAGTTGAACCGTTGAAGAAAACAATGAATGCCACAGACATGTACATGGTTAATCAACTAATTTACACCAAGTGAATGATACAATGTTTTCCTATATACATGCCAGTGTATTAACATCAAAGAGGTATTGTAGTATACATATTTTCTTTTCAACATCCTAGCATCACTCAAAATCACTGTCAGATTTAATCATGATGACCATTTCTTCCGCAGCAACACGGGTGAAGTTTCGATCTTCAACTCTGTTGAAAAAGGCAGTGATGATGATGCAGGATTTCAGATACTGCAATTTATTGCAAGACCATCAGCACCTTATGATTGTCTGCAGGCAATGAATGCGCAGGCCACATGGTATTTCAGCATCTGCCAAAATTGTTCTACTTAATCAATGTGAGTGACATCCTCATGATCAAGTAATAATGCTTCCTCCAGAACATGGATTATCATGAGTGTTGCGTCCCTGAACAACTTCAGTTATTCAAACTAATCTGTCGATGGTCAACTGAGGTTCACAAATCATGATTCTGGGTAACAGAACCATCTTGAATTGGAACAATTAATTCCATACATGTCTCAAATGCTGGGACAGCAAGAGTGTATCACTGAAACCTACATGTAAATGAATCTATTTGTTAGGTCATGACTAAGAAGGGACATGAAAAATGAAGGACTTAACTCTACTGATCTATACCTCATTACCTCTAAAGAAGTTTTGACCCTGAATTATCCTGCATCTTGCCAGTGTTTGAGTATCGCAACAGAACTCTGGATATTGGATAAGGGCACCCAAAAAATCTAACAATGTTCTGCAAACCCCTCTCTCCATGCAAGGGATTTGGTGAACTTAGATGGTTGAGATATGTGTTTCCTTCATAGATATAACTAAGCTGCTGGCACAGTAATACACCTATACCAGCATTGACTGATAAACTAGCGAATGCTAGATATACCAGAACTAGACCCCTTGCTGACAAGAAGAAGGCAGAGCCTGCAACGGTAGTAATAATCTCCAACAATATTTTATAAAAACTCATTGAATGACGGTTTGATGCTAGGTTTGGAAAATCAACAGAGGGCCATATCTGATAACTCGCATATATGGTCATCCCAGCAGCGTAAGAACAACTAATAACCACAGAAATAAGAAAAATGACAAACACTTGATGATTTGATGCTCCCACACAGTTGCCAATCTGCACTTGAACAGAAGGAGGGGAAATGAATAAACAAGTGAAACCTAACAATCAACAAAAAAAAATGCAGCAGAATGCAATTACCATACTTACAAATGGGCAATGGTGATCCATGTCCACCACGCACATTTTACAAGATCGGCAGTGATGTGCTCTGGGGGGCTTTGGTTTATTACAGTATGTACAAAAAGTATAGTTCTCAAGATCCCTTTTCCCAACCATGGGATAGCTGCCCCACCGTATGCTTGTTGGTGCGCCTGCAGATTTAAAAGAGGCCAAGCAATAGCTTGTGATGGTAAATAGCGCCAACACAGCTGTTACCATGCAGTGAAAGATGCCACAGAAGTTGCTGATTTTGAAAACAATAGGATATACCGCCCAGACCCCACCACCTGTGTTAAACAAAATAACAGGCTAAATAAACAACTGACCAAGAAATAAAATTGTTAAATAGCAGAACTACATGAAATAAATGAATAACTGTGGCAGGTTATAAATTATGCTGAAGGCAAGAGATGGTGAACACATACATATAACAAAGAGCATGAAGAGGATGAGCACAGTGACAAAGAATCTGTCCCGTAGGCGCCTCCAGTGGGAAAACCATATACTATCAGGTTTCCTTGTGGTCTGGTTGCTTTGCGTAATGGCTCCACACCAGCCACACTTATAGATAGGAGAGTAACTCGTGAAAACAAGCCGGAGCCCACAGCCCCAACATGTGGCTTCATGATCTTCCGGTATGGATGTGACAGATTGCTCTACCTGAACAAAAGGAGGGTGGCAATTAACACAATGCTGCTGGAGATACTACAGTTATGCACCAATAAGGAATACCATACTTGCAGCTGAGCAAAAGCATCAGATTTATACATGGACGGTGTTTCTCAACCATCCTTCCCACCAGGACTCGATGCCAAAGTAATCCTGAGTATAACTTCCAACCCATGTCTACAGTTACTTCACTCAATACTAAATCTAACATAATATTTGCAAGTTTCGCTTATGACAAACAGCATATCTGCATTTTTTTTTCCAATTCTGCTACCGTTGCAATTCACAAGTAACTGATCAATTATGTCTTGCCATACATATACGTATCCATCAAGTCTAAGCCTAAAGTCTTAATTGGAGTAAGGTGTCCATAAAAGGACCTTGTGGTTAAGGTGTCCATAAAGGGACCTTGTGGTTAATCCCTGGTGCAAAATCCATCCTAATCAATGAAGTAAAGCTGTCACAGACTGCTTTTGCTATGGCCTATGGGTAAGCATCCAGGCTAATCAACCGGCACTATCTTGTTAATTCCATATTCCAACACTAGAGACACATGAAGCAAGAAAACAAGGGTAACCACATCAGACACACTAGACGGCACTACTATCCGAGGCTATCAAATCTCCTGTTGCGAAGAAAAGCACCGGGAAGGACTGGGCTCCTAGTCGTTGACCCAATCGGCGCTCGTCTCCTCCTCCCGAATTCGAAATGGTACATGGAGGGCGTGGGCATGGGACAGGCCCAGCGAGTGAGGGAGACGCACGCTTGGATGAAAAGAAAGGCACGAACCTCCAGCAGCGGGCGCTGCTCCCGTTCCGGCTCCGCCATCGCGCCCGCCGGCCGCCGCGCAGATCCACGGGGCGAGGCCGCGAGGGGGTAGAGAGCAGGAGGCCTCCGGATCGGCGCGGACGGCGGGGACGAGGCGCGCTGTGGTTGGAGACTTCGCAGGGGGGTTTGCAGCTTGGGGCCGAGGCGGAGGAGAATGTTTTTTTCCCTGTGGATATTTCAACGACGAGCAAGGGCGCTGCCGGTGCGGTAGCAAAAGCCAAAGGGTACCCAAAGCCAAAGGAGAGAGGGGGCGGAACGGAGCGGGGCCGGCACGACGATGCAGACGCGGATTTGTGCTGCGACCGCCGAAGTGCCGAGGCAGCTGAAGGGCTGGATTGATTGGAATTTGGAAGGAGGATACGACGGGAGCCGGCGGACGCGTCGCCGCGCTGGTTGGTGGTTGGTCCGAGCCTCCAAGGGCGGTTGATGGCGACTTGGGCCTGTTAACCGTGGTTAACTGGTTATTACTTGATACATTATTTCCTGTTTTATTTGGTGATGACGACGATGATATCGAGCACTAACATACAGTTCGGATCCCTTCGAGTCCGCAACTCTCGATGGTCTTCCACCCTTCCACCATAGATCTTTTTTTTTTTTTTTTTGATAAATTCCACCATATTAGCACCATAGATCATTTTTTTTCTTTTTCTTTTTTGATAAATTCCACCATATTAGATCATTGAGATTGGGTACTAGCTAGCTTAGTCAGACCACCAAAATTTATTGACTGTGGATAAGGTTGGCAAAATTTGGCCATTGACTGTGGATAAGGTTGGCGTTTCGAGTACGGATTATGGGCCAAGATTTGACGTCTAATTCCTCACAAAAAAAAAGGATTTGACATTTGACATCAAATTAAAGTTACCGGTGAAGCCCCTAAAAACATGCTCTTCTGGTGATTTGGGGTGGGATGGAGTAAAAAAAAGTGCGCTCATCATCTCATGCTCTATTGGTGATCTCCAAAACGCTTTAGCTCCTAGAGGAACTGCGGTGACCTCTTTGAAATTTCTAATTAGAGTTCCCGGTGAAGCCACTGCTCAGCTTGGTGCGCTCATCATCTCTGCCTATTGGTGATCTCACCACGTCTAGAGGAGCGGTGACCTCTTTCACTTTCTACGAGAGTACGCTTGTCAGGTGTGCCTTTCGATGATATCTCTCGCTCTCTTTATCTCATAATATCCAATCTGGCTGCGGTAAGAGTATGCTTGTTACATATGTTTTTTAGGGGACTTGTCACATATGTTGATTCTCTTGAGTTGTTGTTTGGTGTGTTTACAAGGACAAGCGGTCGGTTTGCTTTTTGATGCTATGATTTCAGTTCCTTCTTTTGACCTGTTCCACGAAAAGTCTGAATTGTCCAACAATTTAATTTCATGATGAAGAATTGTGAGCCAACATCTCTTTTTCATTGATAACATCGATCCCCTCCATCGATTTCTCTTCAGATGTATCTACATAAGGTTTGAAATCCCTCGGTCTTATTTTTCAGTGGGTACTAGACCTCGCTACCAAAGCCAATAGCTTTGTAATCTATTAAACTTTACAACATGGGTATTGTTAGGTGTCCATTTCCCTAGCTCCAGATAGAAGGAATAAGACGACCATTGATTTTGATGTAGTCATATATCTTAGACCATTTTATGTTAAGTTATCGTTCTTTTGTACTGGTTAATATCTTATCCCTATATTATAAATATCATATGTAAGGCACTCCTTTTAGTGTTCTGCTAAAAAAAAGTTTGGTGTTGTTTGGCCTGCTTGCTCATACATAGTTTATTTTCTAGCCAAGCGTTGATCGCCAAGATTTGGGCGTCCGATGTCTTCAACAAGGCAGATCACGGCAACAACCCAACTTGCCCTGACTTCGACAATATGGTGCCCCTGAGAGCATGAAATCGGCTCAAGGGAAACTTCACTTTGGTCTATTCTTACTAGAATAGGTTTGTGTCCGTCCATTATAAGGACAACAATCATATGTATATATAGTTGTGATTTGTCCAAGAGATGCCTTTAAAGAATCAATTGAAACATATTACATCATCCGACTGTACAAATGTGTATATAATCATTAAAAATGAAAGTGATTCGATAGTGTCCAAAGGTTATTTTCATGGTTTGACATTGGACAAGTCAATCGGCACTAGTGTTCTACCATCACATAATTCAGAGCATAAATAAGGATTTATTGTTCGTTTATCTGATACAAACATAATGCACCAATTCCAAGAGCCTGTTTGTTTTAGCTCTCTGTTGGCTTCTGCCATTGAAACAAATAACTCAGTTGTTGAGCTGAGCTGGCTTTTGCAAAGATAATAAAAAACTGATTTCTAAAGAAAATAAACCTGTAAAGTATGTTGAGAGGAGTTTTTCTGGCTTTTTATGTGATGAGAAGTTGAAATTTATTACAAATGTTAATAGCAAAAGCCAACAGTCCAAAGCCAAAAGTCAGCTTTTGAGTAAAGCTCAAAAACAACAGCCCAAATAAATAGACCCTGCATCACTAAACATGCACGATAAATATCCCACGGCTCAAAGGTTTGTCAACAACAATGTCAGGTTTGGCATGTTGACACTTTTCCGTACTTCGACATGTTGACGCTTGTTCCGTACTTCCGTAGGTCGCCTGAAGGTATTCTAGCTTCAACCACTACAACCGTGTTAAGAGTAGTGCATACTGCAATTGTAATTTTTCTAGCTTCTCCCTATTCCCTCTCTCTGTTAGCTGGGAAATGTTTATTCAGCGTGTAACCCTGTTGTACCTTTTCCTTGTCACCTCTACTCAGTGCAAAAGCAAAGCTCCTGCTGTTTCATGCTAAAAAAATGTTAAGAGTAGTGAACGCCACACCATCATATCACTATTCTTCGGTTGTACAATACAAAAGTTTGGTCTTGCATAGATCATTGATCCTCTGTATAACTCAATCAAAGATATTCTTGTTATACCTAAGTTACAGTTCGGCATACACTGATCATTAGTTAAAATTATTACTCTTATTACTATACCTTGGTTATAACACTTATCCCACCTTAGCTTATACCTTAGTTATAATATAGTAAGCTTATTATATATTAAAATTGGTCATTGTTGTACTTAGTTATTCGGGCTGTTCGGTTAATGGTTTCTACGGTTGATAAGCCAGCCAATTGATGCTATTTTGTTGTGAAAGAAAAATACGGCTGATAAGCTAGCTGATGCTATTTTATTGTGAGAGAAAAATACTATAACATGGCTGATAAGTTCAAAGCAAACAGGGTGAGGTTATAAAAAAAATTCACCACGACACGAAATGAATGTCAATCATTACTGGCCTGCGATGGACGAGCAGTGCTCTCAACAGCCAGGGTTGCAAAATCTGAAAACACTTGCACACTTGTGTTTGTGTAGAGGCGCGCTTGGCCAGCTTGAGAGAATAGGTAGGATATCACCGTTTGGTAGTATCAAACAATCGGCATGAGTGTATTATCCGAAAGACAAGTCACACCTCGCTCGCATTGGCTAACAGAAGCTATTTAAAATGCAGTTCTTCCGGTGAGCATCACTCGAACTCAAGTAGCATCCAAACGAACGAACAAATTGACAGAAGGTATTCCTGTCTCCTCGTTTTGCCGATGTTCACTTGTATCTGATGATGCCATCATATGTCAGCAGCAAGGAAGTTGCCAGACAAGGAAACCTGATAATTGGAGAAGCAGCAGTAAGCGTACGCATATCAGAATCCAGAGTGCAATCGACATATTTGATCTCCTCGAGAATTATAGTTCAAGGGAGAAGAATACAGATGGTAAGACTGTTACCTTCTCGCCGGGCTTGAATGGTGGAAGACCTCTGTAGGGACAGGTTCCACATCGAAAGGCATCACCCAACCCACACTGCAAGAATCATTTACAGAGATCACCAGCCACGATAAGTAACCTGAGTGAACGTATGCCAGAACATGGAGTTTCACGAAAGAGCATAAGTGCCACTCTAATTCTATAGCAATACTTACACTGCCACAAGCCGACTGAGGATTATTGATCTGCTCTGCAGTGAGCTCAAGCTTCCCAACCTTCTCCTCAGCCTCAGCCCTGCCACAAGTACAGTTCTTGCACGCCTTCTTTGCAGCCCCCACTTCACAATCTCCAACTGGTGAAACATCAGTTAACTGTTTAGGATCCAAACCTATATTGGCTATTTCTTACAAAGTTGAACTAAGTTGATAGGGTTTATTACTGTACCAACAGGAAGTTGTGGTTTCTTCAGGTCCTCTTCAGTCAAGAGGCTGTCTTCATCAATCAGATCAGAGTCATCATCAATTTGAATCTTGGGAAGGGCCCTCGTTGCTTTCATTGCTTTCTTGAGGGGAAAAGAAGAGCCCACGCTCCAGCTAGCCTTCTTTGCCTTAACCTACAAGTGGTTCAAATTAGCACCAAAACTAAAGCCTGCACAAGCAATACTAACATATTATTACACATGAACTTAGACCACTCACTGTAACAGATTGCACGCTATCCTGCGAGTTTGCAGCAGAAGATTGCACTTCAGCAAATCCTCCCATCAGTAACTTGCGCTCAATATCAGCGTTTGGCTAACAGAGACAATCATAAAAATTAGGCACTTTATATTAACAGTGCAAGAGAAACGAGGTAAGGAAGACAAATTCTGATAAGTTACCTTCTGACTGGATGAGGGTGCAGGGCTCTGCACCAATACTCTTCCACCAGCTTTCAGCACCCGACTGATTTCAGCAACCAATTGCTCCCTCAAGCTTTCCACGTTTTTAATGACTGCAAGAACCGCACCAACTGATGCATCCTCAAAAGGCAACTTTCCACCTGTTGCATGCCAGAACAATAGTTTGGTTACAGTTTTGTGATAATACACCAATGTGGACACAAGGAGGACATGGCATAGCAAAGCCGAACACAAATCAAAATCAAACATTATTAAGTGTCTAATATAGGCTCCCAAAATCAGAAATACTAGCACTCGGCTTATCCATAAAAACACACACGAGCTAGTCCATAGTCAGGAAGCATATATTACTGATCCACTAAATTTAAATTCAGATGGTGAATCCATGGCTAAAATGCTAAAAAAATTTGTTCCTTTTTCTTTCATCTCTGGCTGGTCTGGAAAATATCTTCCTCTTCTTTTACCTCATATTTTTTCCATTGCGTGTGAAATAGCGATAGGAAGATTAGTGTGTAGAGCAATTCACTTTGATCATGAAATTTTGATGTGGGTTTCAGGGTCAATATCATTTGAATAAATTGGGGAAGCATTCTCGGGTTCTCCGTTCACACTTTACATATCATATAGGTAGACATGGATAGCACCTGCGTGGGTTTGTGTTTTCAGTGTCTGATGAATACCTAGTTTCCTTTGCCCGTTTAATTTTTCTGTTTTTTTATTTATTATTATAATAACCTTATCACATAGTTGTTTTACAAGCAGGTCATTCCTTTGTTGAATCAGCTGGCTCCATACTCGACTTCTGCATTTAAGAGGTTTAGGTTTTCAACTTCAGTCCCCCCAACAAGATGATAAGGAGACAAACAAACACACAGATGATGGGGTTAATAAAAGCATTGGAGCGACTACTGAAGCTTCAAGTGAAGCCAATAATGTGCCAAGAACTGAGAAGGAACAGGAAGCAGGTTCACATGATTCTGTATCCAAGTCTAACAGGAAGAGAGAACTACTAAACGAACTGCATTTTCTGATTCAGATTCACAAGACCTAGACCTATCAAAGGTGGACCTTATGAAGCTGCTTCTTGAGAAAGACGAATCACTGAAGTCTAAAGATGAAGAGTTTAAAGATATGAAGGATAAGGTCTATTCTAGAAAGCACTTGTTTCTGAACTCTAGCCTCGACTCGGGTGCCAGTTACCATAGGTCAATTCAGTTCAACCAGGTACTCAGTTATTCTTCTTCTTCCTTCAGCATGTGCAGCTCAAGTAATAATAAAAAAATTCTGTAATCGTGAACTAAAACTACTACAACAACAATGATTCACTAAAGCATAATGTTTAGCCCATGATAGGCACCCTGCTAATCTATACAGTTTGAGGCACAGGCATCGGAAGTTAAAAAAAAAAACATAACACAGCAACACATTTTTTCTTTTATCCAATAGCAGGTGTTTAGGAAGTCCTAGGCAGGGGGGAGCTACATGGTGGTCCGGGTGGTCCACGGACCACCATGCGCTCGGCACACACAACGCAGATAGATATAGGAAAATTCGGATCAAATACGTCCGAGCGTCCGCGGCCTTCGCAAATACGCCGTGCGGCCGTTCCGCGCCCCCTTCGTATTTCTCCGTGTGGCCGGTATGCGCCCCTTCGTATCCGTTGTTGACTTGTGCTTCATAGAATACGGTATACGAAACTATAGCGGCGGCGGCAGGCGCCTGACGATGAGCAGCAGCACACGTGAGTCCTCTGCAGGTACGTCTCAAAATCTTCATTCAATTAGCCTGCTCGTTTAGTCATGTTTCCTTTTTTTCTCTTCCAATCTCTCTCTGGAGCTAGACTATGCAAATACTGTAAGCCCTAACTCGAGCAGAACGCATCAGCTATTGCTGGTGGCCACTAGCCGGTGATCAGCGATAGCGATCCATCCACCATCAGGCATTCAGGCATCAGACGTCCAGAGGCCGCAAGCCACAAGGTACACAAACCTTATTTTATTCTGTGTCATTAGATTATATTATTAGAATCCACTGTGACATTGGACTATTTAATTTAAATTGTAAGATATAATAATTTTCTTGTGTCAATTGATTATTGGAATGGTAAATTGATTATTGGAATGGTAAATTGTAAGATAAGATGGGTAGCCTTCTGGATGATTGTCTAGTGACTTTTATTGAGCAGGATATCTTCTTACAATTAAGTGAAGAAAAATCATCAACACTTTCATGGTTACTAGAAGGCGCAGGCCTAACAAGAAGTAGTGACACATTGTTCTTCAACTATTATGGATATGCAATATTTCAATTCTATGTTAAGAAAGCTATACTCGTCTATGCCTTTTTTTTTCTTGATTGTGTTTTGTAATTCATATACTTGTGTACCGACATGTTAAATTTATAGCGGTTAACAAAAATTTTAGATAATGGACCACCACATCTACAAATCCTGGCTACACCACTGGTCCTAGGAACATAAGGTTTGGTCCCGAGAGCTGAAAGGGAACTACAGCAAGGTTCGCTGAAGCGTACCATGTCAGTAAAATTCGAGCAAGTATACATTGCTTGCACTGGATCACAAACAGGGAGCAGTGTCTGTGCAGTTCCTATCGTCTTCTATCATTTTTTTCATACAAAAATCAAGGGGGAAAGATACCTGGAACTACTCGATGGGCTACTACCGATCCCAGGAGCATGGTTTGATGAACTAATTCCCGAATTAAAGAACGAAACCCTAAGAACCAAATGTCTACTCCAAATTTGATTGTAAAAAACAGGAGCCCATTCGACGAAACCACACCAGAAGGCTCGCTAATTGAAGCATGCATGCAAGCAAGCAAAAAAACAACACGAATTGACGGGTTCCTGCATCCACGCACGCACGCACGAACTCGCCCTTCATCGCCGACGATCGAGCATAGGATGAGGAAGAAAATGAAGAGAGGGCAAGACGGGGGCGAAGGTAGCTAGCTCACCGAGCGCCGCGCACTGGGTGATGACGGCGACCTCCTCCCGCGAGACCTCGGCGGCGGCCACCAGATCCCCCACCGCCCGGATCGGCAGCGCCACCTCGTCCGTCACCGCGAGCGCTGCCGCCATGGAGTCCAACCTGCACACGAGCACGCCCAGAACCAGAAGGACTCGGTGAAAACTAATCCCCGCAGAGAAAAACCGATCGAGGAATTAGGGTTCATCCAGGGGGATTTTATCTTGCTGCTACCTGAGATGAGAAGAAGAAGAAGCGAATTTGGTTTGACTCCCTACCTCTCGAAGCTTCACCAGGAAAGGAAACCAGGGTGGGGAACTGGGAGAGCCGAGACCGAGAGGGGGAGCAATGACGTTTTTCTTCGAGGCTTTTACCCGTGTCCCGTTAGAAAAGATTGTAATTACTTACGGGCACATTAAATAGTTTGAGCGGTTATACGTGTCATCGGTCTAAACTGCTATTTTGTCCACCTTCCGTTGAGTTTTCTCCGTTTAACAACTCTGTCACGTGGGCCCGGCTAGTCAAGAAGTCCAAAATGCCCTCCTCTCTCCCAATCCTATCCTCTACACGTCAACGCCATCCGCCGCCTCCCGCCGCTCGGGCGGCGAAGCTTCGCCCACGCTCGTCGTCTATGGACCACCTGGTCAGAGCTCTTGTCGCACCGCATGTGGCCGGACCGGAGCTGACTCTCGCCCACATGGTGGCTAGACCACCTCCTCACATGACATGGTCACGCGAGGGCCCAGACTCCGGCGCCATGTCAGGCGGTGGCTTCCCGACCTCTCACCGGCCTCGCAACCCCTCCGGCACATCCATGATGGGGACGGTGAAGGTGAAGAACAACTTAAGTGAGGGAAGGGGATTAATGCTTGCGCTCATCATTTTTGCGATGATTGGAGGTATACTCGGCGGTGACGAGGTGACGAGTTTTCCAAGTCGAGGTGCAGCGTCAACCATCGATGGCTAGGAAGGAAAGATAGGATAGTTTCCTCTTTCTCGGGGCAATTTTAGAATAATTAGCTCTAGTTGGTTTGTTTCAATCTTTTTCCCCGCCTCGATATATATCTTTCATGGGGAGTACATCGACGAGAGGCGGACTATTGGCTCTTCTCCTCTTATACGGGTCCTACGCCTTTGCGACATCACCGGGACCTCCGTGGTCGCGACCTGGCGTAGGGCATCATGGGTGTCGTGTTTTCGGACCGTCGATGAGTAAATTTGTATTTCGCTTGTGCGATTTGGACTATTTAATTTAAATTGTAAGATATAATAATTTTCTGGTGTCAATTGATATTGTGTGCTCGGAGGACATAGGGGTTTACACTTCTTACAATTAAGGAAGAAAAATCATCAACACTTTCATGGTTACTAGAAACGTCCCCACGTGACACTAGTTCATTGTTGCTCAATTGTTACGAAAAGCACTTAGTTTACCTTTTTTGAGGGGTTACAAACAGTGAGAGAGGAGAGGATTCCAGTCTCTGGTGGAAGGAATGAACAGTGTCTTTGGCTTCGATTGCCGAAGCGTTTCGCCGTGTGCTCGTGTCGTGCTCTTATGTTTCAATCTTTCTCCCCCGTCTCGAGATCAGATCCCCTTTCATGGGGCACCCTGCTTCCTCTTTTATAGGCAAAGGGAAAGCGCGGGTTAGAGAGGAGGAAATGGAGAAGAATGAGAGAGAGAAGAAGGCTTCCAAGATCGTTGGTCCCTCTTCTCCTTTATGACGGGGGTCTCTCACTGACCGAGCTGTGAGATATCAACCTCCTCCCGCGAGGGCGGCTCCATGTCACCGCCCGGATCGGCAGCGCTTTCATCATCGCGGCGCCATGCATGTGCATCATCTCGCCGATCATGGCGTTCCAAAAACCGATCGAGGCCAGGGGACGTCTTGGTGAAGATGAGAAGAAGAACGAATCGCTCGAAGCGCGAAAAGGAAACCAGGGTGGGGAAGTTAAGCGAGCGAGAGGGGAGCAATGACGTTTTTCTTCGAGGCTTTTACCCACGTCCGGACATCGTTCTTGATGTGAATCCCCGTGTATGACCCTGCCTCCACGAACACACGGGTTACATTGAGGTGTGCTAGCCTCTTCGCTGGCGTCAGAGTTTTGTCCCAGGCCTATACGCTTGGACCTAGAGTGGTTGGCAGAGGTATGGGTCCCTGTCGGACGAGACGGAACTCAGATCCTTGGCGCCGATGGAGCGAGACGAGCCCGCACAAAGGGGTCAAGGCGAGACGGAGCTGCCCGTGCTTGATGCATCCCGAGGTCGAAGCGTGATGGAGCCCTATGAGAGGGCCGGACGACGGCGGTGACCTCAAGCGCGTCCTCGAGATCGGGCGAGACGGAAACCGCGTCCTTGGGGTTGGGCGAGACGGAGCCCCACGGCCTTGAGGTCGGACAAGATGGAGCCCACGGCCTTGGGGTCGGGCGAGACCTTTTAATACATCTCGAGCCATATAGGGAAGTCAGCGTGAGCGCTAACTTCCTTGCTTTGGGTATCCCTAATATCAATACCCGACAGTAGCCCCCGAGCCTGCAGAGGAGTAGAATACTCATTTGGAGGCTTTTCCGGACAGGAGGACTTTGAGGGCCTTAGCCTTCTCTTTGTAGGCCACGGCGTGTCCTGGTAGGACGGCGATTCCATTTTGTCGCGATCAGTCTTCTAGGGGGCATGTAACCGTATGATTCGGGAGGTCAGAAAGATTGTTCTTGATTTCGGTCCCCTAGAATCCGATCATCATACTGCGACCGTGCGTTCGGTCTCCTTACAAGTCCAACTTTCCTCGAGCCCCTGCGCGTAGCGAGGGTCCAGTCAAAGGTTGGCTCGTCTTTGTGATCCTCATCCCTCAAGTGTTTTTTTCGATAAAACAGAGGGGCTGAGTTGTGCCACATTTTTCCTCGATGGACGAAACATGGTGCTCGGTGAGCTGTTAACGGGCTAGTCCGAGTGGGGCCCTGGCTTTCTCATTCGTGGGGGTCCGGCATGGGTTAGCTGGTGACCGACTCTAGACTCTTGGCGGCCAATCCATATAGTTCTTAGGTCCGTTCGGCCGGTCCCAAGGGCTCGTTGCCTTTCTTTGAGAAAAAAACCATGGACTGGGAACTGACCAAGACTCGAACATGGGTCAGGATGCTGTGAACCGGTGGTGCTCAGGCGCCTGTGCATCGCCGCTAGTGGGCCCATCTCTTTCCACCCCTAGCTCTATGGGTGCTGTATGGATGGCGGTTGTGAAACCCATCGGTGTGGTTGGCTAATTAGCATTGGTTTGAACTCCAGAACCTAGATCAAGGTCTTTGCGAATGGGCCGTGTTAGAGCGCTTTTTAGCTCAGTATCCCTCCTTTCTGCGATGGTTCTTGGCCCATCGATATATTGGGGTGAACCATCATCGGTGTGTCCTTTGAGGGCGTGGCTATTAGAGATAGCGGGGAGCATAGATTTTAGCTACGACGATCTTTGGATGGTTCTTGGAGGTGACGGACGCATGCGCACTGAGAGAGCGATCTACGAAGATGAATCTAGGTGGACGGTTTGCCTTCTCGCCCCGCTCTATCCTATAAATAGCGGCCTCCCCCTTCATGTTTCTATACACCAAAACCACAGCCTTACCTTCTCCGTTTCCCCGCCACCACCGTTCGGATCTGCCATGCTTGCTAATCCGCCACTGGAGCCCTAGATCTGTAGCTTCCGCTTCTTCACCACCGCCTTTACTTCTCCGCAGCCGCCTCCATCCCCCATGGATTCATGGTACTGCTCCGATGTTATCCATGCGCGCATGGAGGGACTCATCAAGCATGGTATTCTCTATGGGAGGACCAATGCGGCGGAGTGGCTCGTGCCCGGCCGTGAGGATGCACCGGCGCCGCTCGACGGCTAAGTCGTCTCCTTCATGCCCTTCCATGAGTGCGGACTCGTGGTTCCTCCTCACCTGTTCTTCTAGGGTCTACTGCACCACTATCAGATCGAGCTGCAGCACTTGAACCCTAACGGGGTCTAGCACATCGTTGCCTTCATCGCAATGTGCGAGGGGTACCTGGGGATCGAGCCCCACTTTGAGCTATGGAGATATTTCTTCCCCATCTCCCATGGCACGCAGCTCATTGGGACGATGCTTGCCTAGGGGCTACTCCACGACAGCGAGGTCGCACAGCGCATCAAGGAGGCCATGGGGGTGGCCGACGCCATGTTCCCGATCTCGGGGCATCCCGTGATGTGGCCGAACGCGGGCTTCATCGAGCTATCGGCGGGGTTTGTCTTCTGGGACTCTGTCGCGCTGCTACCAGAGCACGCCGCCATGAGGGCGGCGAACCATGCCGCGGATGAATGAAGGAAGAAGAAGAAGGACGATGAGGAGAAGAAATGGCGGTCGAAGCAGCGAGCAAAGCTACATCGAGGGAAGCGGCGTCAAGGTTCATCGGAAGAAGAGGAGGAGGATGGTAGCTCCATGTCGCCTATACCATGGGACGATCTAGCCGCCGGAGACGAGGACTCGCCCTCACTGTAGGCAGGGCCCTACCTGCGGCATGCCATGGGGTAGGAGGAGGAGGACGCGTCCGCGGAGCCGGCAGAATCAAAACACCCCACCCCATTCGGACCTTCGACGGCGGCCTCGGAACTAGCGGAATCAGGGCGCCTTGCCTCATCTGGGCCTTCGACGGCGGCCTGGAGCCAGCAAAAACAGGTCACCCCGCTCCATCCGAGCCCTCGGCGATGCCTCTGGAGTCGACGGGAGGCGGCCGTTCTAGTTCGTCCGAGCCCTCCGAGCTGAGGGAGGGCTCATAGCGGCAACGTGCCAACGAGGAGCAGCCAGGGTCGAGCAAGCCGGCCCTAAAATGTCCTTGCATGATGGCATCAGGGTAAGTCAAGAGTTTTTTGTCCTTTTGTCTTAGCGAATTTTTGCCATGAATTGACTGCCATGTCACTTGCAGCGTCGGAGGACGTGGGACTCTCTTGCGGCTCGCTTCGAAAAAGATTCTCCTTCGGCAAACGCGCTAGGAGCTGGCTGGCGCCGTGCCGGTGGTGAGCGTGAGTGGTGTTGGGGCAGCCATGGCATCGACCGGGGAGGCGCAGCCGATGGCTGCGTCCCTGGGAGAGCAGGTGGAGGAGGGCGCATCTGG